TGCTAAGGCAGACTGCATTTTACAAATGCTCCAAAGGAAAGGAGAAGAAGAGAAATACCGATGCACTGAAGTAGGGATGCTCCTTTATGATGGTGATACTGCTCCTGAAGTAGGGTTTTGGGTCCAGGAGCATGAGCAAGGGTGGGTCTGGAAGCAGGACATTGTCCATCCAGCCACCCATGTACTGGTCCTGCTATGAGCGGGACCATCTGCCCCAGGGAACCAAGAGCACCACATCAGCAGCAGGACATTTGGCCATATGTTCTCCATGCCACCATGGTGTCACCTTCTACCTCAAGGATCCAAGCCAGCCGGTTTAGAGCTGCTCACCAGGGCTGCTCACGTTTTCTGCTTGTCCTCCCCAGATCACGATGAATGTGCCACAACCAACATGTGCCTCAACGGGATGTGCATCAACGAGGACGGCAGCTTCAAATGTATCTGCAAGCCAGGCTTTGTGCTGGCTCCGAATGGGCGCTACTGTGTTGGTGCGTAGGTCCTCAAGGTTGTTCTCTGACCTCTTCCCACCCTGTCACCCGTGTTTCGGGGCACTTGTTATGTGCCTGAGGCCAAGGATAGCTGAGAAAACACAAGGCCATCGCCAGGCACCGTCCACTTGGGTGCTGGAAGGTAGAAGAGGCACAAGGGGACAAGTGAAAGGGGAGCCTGTTCCTGAGCCATCAGAGACAGCAGGGGACATGATCCCACTGCCCATGGGCAAGTGACAGCCTGTCTGTGCTTCCTCTTTCAGACATCGACGAGTGTGAGACCCCTGGGATCTGCATGAACGGCTGGTGCAACAACACAGAGGGCTCCTTTCGGTGCGAGTGCCTCGGGGGCCTCGCGATCGGGGTGGACGGGCGGGTTTGCGTGGACACCCACATGCGCAGCACCTGCTACGGAGGCATCAAGAAGGGCACGTGCGCTCGTCCCTTCCCCGGAGCCGTCACCAAGTCGGAGTGCTGCTGTGCTAACCCAGACCATGGCTTTGGAGAGCCCTGCCAACCCTGTCCAGCCAAAAACTCTGGTGAGCTCCCCTTCCATATGCAGGTTCAGAAAGCCAGGAATGTGTCTGGAGATCTTCTGCCCCAGGGACCTTTTTTGAGACAACCTAGAGAACTTGGCAGTGATGTGGAAAAGCCATAGGCAAGGGGAAGAAATGTCACCTGAACAGATTTAGGTTGGATCTGCAAACAAGTCAGAGTTGGTAAAAACCTCGTTTTTTGGACCAAAATGCAGATATCCAATTCTATATTCTTCACTTGTGCTGCAGAGACAGATCAGCTCCATCCAAATAGGTAGTGTTTGAACAGGTCCCACGTGCCATGTAATCTCACTCCCCCAATCTTTCCTATTCACATTTTACCTTCTAGCTAATAGTTTTATGGGTAGTGATGGGCTGTGGGCCTTCACTCCCAGATCATCCATCAAAGCGTGTTGAATCCTGGATCCTTTCCTGCAGAGCCCCACTAGAAACATCTTTTCTTGACGAATTTTCAGCAATAACTTTCATTTCAAAATGTCAACTGACAGATTATTAGTCACATGCTTAAAATGTTCCTTGATCTTTTGCATTTCATATGTGCATATATATAGTCCATATTATATAAATTGCATAGCACAGTCCATTAGTTATGTGCATTAAATAATGCCTAGAAGGCTGTCTTGAGATGCTGATCTCATTGCAGGGATTCTCACAGTGTTTTACTGCTAGCTGTGAGTATCAGCTCTAACAAATAAATAGCAGAAGTACAAACTGATGCTGCTTGAGAGCTCATAGATGATATTCCAACAAATAATAAAGCCAATGATACTCTGAACTGCTCTCACCATATTAAAATGTCCTGAAAAGCTAATGGCTCTGTTGTGCTTTCCATACAGCTGAATTCCAGGCTCTCTGCAGCAGCGGTATTGGAATAACAGCTGATGGCAGAGGTATGTGCATGAAAATGGTCTTGATGGACACATGTAATGTGTCCCTGAGTTTGTTTTTCCAGCTGCATTTAACTGGGACTGTGTGTCCCTGTGGATTGTGCATTGAATAAATGATCTTGCTGCCCTCTGCGAACTGCATTTCTGGGGTGGCACCCAAAAGGTGGCTTTACCCCCTGCTTTCATAGGGAATGGACCAGAGACAAAACCGTTGTGGCTTCTTGGGCATCTTTCCAAGCATCTTGTCTTGGCAGAGCTCAGTCTCAGGCTGGTGATAAGATGCTTTCTAGCAAGACACTAACATAAGACGTGCTCTGGACTGCACATGCTGAGGGGTGTCCCAGCAGCAAGGAACAAGAATTAGGGCATGGAAGATCTCTATAGCCGAGTTTGCTCTTGATCCACCTGGTTTGATTTCTTTCTCTGCGCAGACATCAACGAATGTGCCCTCAACCCAGACATCTGTCCCAACGGCATGTGCGAGAACCTGCGTGGGAGCTACCGCTGCATCTGCAACCTGGGCTATGAGTCAGATCCCACGGGCAAGAATTGCGTGGGTGAGTTCAGGGCAGCCCACGCGCTGCGTGACGTGGGGAGCAGAAGTTCAGTGCCAGTAAGGAGAAAGCAGTGAGTGTGCACGGGCCTCTCATCCCTTTTCTTCCCTACCTTCTGGCTGTGTAGGGCTATGTGTGTTTGCTTACACGTGCCATGCCGTAAGCAGTATCGACCTGAGCAATAGGGAGGTCCTTTCTGTGCCTCTCAGACCACTGATGTTCTGTAGAGCTGCACAGATGGAAGCCTAGACACCAATATATGTCCTGTCCATCCTGCCCACAGATGTCGACGAATGCAGCGTCAACCGTTTGCTGTGTGACAACGGACTGTGCCGAAACACCCCTGGCAGCTACACCTGCACCTGCCCCAAGGGCTTCGTCTTCAGGACTGAGACAGACACCTGTGAAGGTAACGTGGCTCTGAAGTCAATGCAGAACCTCTTCAGAAGAGGTGAAGAATGAACTGCGCTTCTTGGCCGTGCCAGAAAGGAAGATGAAGCTCCAGGTTTTCGTTGTTGTTGTTTGCTAGTGGGAAATGTCATTTTTCATTTGGAATAGTAGACATCCAAACTCATAACAAAAAGGGTTTTCAGTAACTGAAAGCCAGAACAATTTCCTCTAAGGCCCCAGATTTCTAGCTAAAAGCTGCCCAAAATTGCAAGGTTGGGGAATCTGTCTGAAAGCTTACAGTTTGGATTAGCGAAAGACTGAGTTTTATTTCCTGACCTCAAAGTCCCACAACATTTGAGGACTGGTTTGCTATAAAGATGGTGAAAGTCACAGAAACAATGTTCTCTTACACCCCTCTCCGCTGAGCAGCCCAGTTTGGAGGTTGTCAGGAGACACCTTGATCTTTATAGCCCCATGGTCGTGTCTGGAAGCAAATATTGGGTGCAAGGGTGCTCACCACAGTCACAGTCCCTGTTTTCCTCCTGCAGATATCAATGAGTGCACCTCCAACCCGTGTGTGAACGGTGTCTGCAGAAACAACGCTGGCTCTTTTGCTTGTGAATGCTCCCCAGGCAGCAAGCTGGACCCCAGTGGCACCATCTGCGTGGGTAAGGAGATCACTACGTGGGTAAGGAGCCAGCCCTGGGCTCATGTCTGATATCAACAGTGTCTTTTCTCCCCTTTTTGTTCACATGAAGCTAGATCCTGGCTTCGGGATGGGATCCTTGGGGACCTCTTGTTCTCTCTCTGTGTTTCTTTGGTTGTTGGCAACTACTACAACCTCTTTTGTTCATCCAGGAAGCCTGGAAAGTTGAAAGATCATAGAATCATAGAATGCTTAAGGTTGGAAGGGACCTCTCGAGGTCATCTAGTCCAACCCCCTGCACACGCAGGGTCACCTAGAGCACGTGGCACAGGGCTGCATCCAAGCGGGTTTGAAGATCTCCAGAGACGGAGACTCCACAGCCTCTCTGGGCAGCCTGTTCCAGTGCTCTGGCACCCTCACTGTTAAGAAATTCTTCCTTAAGTTCCTGTGGAACTTTTGGTGCTTCAGTTTGTGGCCATTTCCTCTAGTTCTATCAGTGGCCACCACCGAAAAGAGACCAGCCCCATCCTCCTCGCTCCCTCCCTTGAGGTACTTATAGACACTGATCAGGTCCCGTAAGCATTTTGCTGGACAGAGAAGTCCCTAACTGGACTGCAGCAAGACAAAGCACAGACGTGGGGTTCCAGGGGTCCCTCCCGGAGACCAGGGTGGCAGGTTCTTGCTCCTCAGATGGGTTCATAGTGTGCTGAGATTAATGCACGTCAAGAGGAAGAGGATCCCTCCTTATCATGCGGATCCCTTCCCAGTAGGTCCAGCCACCCCCTGGTAGTCAGGGCCTTGCAAAGCACCAGAGCTCTGGGGAAAAGCACCATTTGGGTCCTTGCTGCAAAGTGCTTGGCCTAACAGTCTGAAAGATAAACTGGGGCCAGAGATCAATTAGTCACATTGCAACTAGCTGCTTCTCATTCCCAAGCTGAGAACCTCTGCTGAGGAGCATCTCCTCACTCACCCCTTGGCTTTGCCCTTACAGACAGCATGAAAGGCACCTGTTGGCTGAACATCCAGGACGGGCGCTGCGAGGTGAACATCAACGGAGCCACGCTGAAGTCGGAGTGCTGCGCCACGCTGGGGGCGGCCTGGGGCAGCCCCTGCGAGCGCTGCGAGATCGGTGAGGCCTTGCCCCGTGCTGCAGGCAGCGAGGCTGGCGGGAGGGCACCCCCTGCTCTTGACACTGCTCTGCTCTCTTGCAGATACTGCCTGTCCCCGCGGCTATGCCAGGATGAAGGGGGTCACATGTGAAGGTAAAGTGCTGCAGCACACAAAGCAAAGGGGTTTTTTTATTATTATTACTGGGAATATGATCATGGTTCATTTGCTGTTGTTTTGCATCTTTGAGTCTGAAGGAGCTAGATGGGGTCCTACATCTTCCATGTTGTCTCTTGTTGTTGGCCTTTGCCCTGAGCACTACAGCTGGGTGTTTTGGGGCAGAAACCAGTCTCCCGTGTGTAGCACCAGGATCTGGAGATGAAATGTTTCTGTCTGTGTGTTCTGGTGCTGCTCTGTCAACCTTGTGCCAACTCAGCCAGTGCAATGAACCTATCCTGCCTGCCAAACCTTCTCTGACAAGGCTCTGGGATGCAGCCTCCTTGCAGAAGTCTGCACTTGGCTCAGTGCCGACGTGCTCCGTGTAGGCCACTCTGGGCTCCTTTGGGGTCTCCAAGGACTGGTTACATTCCTGCCTCTTGCTCCCTGCCGACAGACGTGAACGAATGCGATGTCTTCCCTGGCGTCTGCCCAAACGGCCGCTGTGTGAACACCGCCGGCTCCTTCCGCTGCGAGTGTCCCCAAGGGCTGACCCTCGATGGCACTGCCAGGACGTGTGTGGGTAAGGACAAATCACCCAGGGACCTTGCTAGCAGCGTCACAGGGCTGGTGATATCCTACCATTGGTGGTGTCACATTTTTTTCGTGTGGATGGACATGCTTATATCCACATTAATTTAAATTCAGCTCCCATGGCAGTTTTTGAAGCCTGTCGTAGTTTATCTCCTATTCACTAATAGGACAAATACCTATACCTAATACCATCACATCACAGCAGTGCCTTGTGCCTCGGCATCCCAAAGGCTTCTGGCTTGATGAGATCTCCTGGTGCTGGTGTCACCTGTGGATGCCATCTCCATCCACACAACATGGAGCACTCACCTCATTGCTCCCAGGGTGGCAGCTGTTGCCCGTTTCTCTTCTCCTGCTTTGAAGATGCAGCAGCAGAGCATGGCACTGATGGGTGGTGGCAGAGATGACACTTGTCCCCAGTGGGGAGATTCCCTGCAGGAAATGGTTCCCGACAGAGAGAAATCCCTGCGAACCCTTGTGGTTGTCGGGTGTCGCAGGCAGGGGCTCTGCTCTCTCCACAGACGTGCGCGTGGAGCAGTGCTACATGAAGTGGGATGAGGACGAATGTGCAGAACCGCTTCCCGGCAAGTACCGAATCGACATGTGTTGCTGTTCCGTGGGCGCAGCCTGGGGCATTGACTGTGAAGAATGTCCCAAGATGGGCTCCAGCGAGTACAAGGCCATCTGCCCAAGGGGACCCGGCTTTGCCAATAGAGGAGACGTGCTTTCAGGCAGGCCATTCTATAAAGGTGAGAGGAGCTGGCAGAATTGCTGAATCTTTGCTTCAGCCCAAGGGACCCGCTCCTTGCCCTGGAACACCAGGTTCGTTGTAGACATCCTCTCTCTGAAACACTTCTGTTTTTCCTTTCTCCACAGATGTGAATGAGTGTAAGGTCTTCTCTGGCCTGTGCACTCATGGCACCTGTCGAAACACCATTGGCAGCTTCAGGTGTCTCTGTGGCAATGGCTTTGCTTTGGATGCTGAAGAAAG